CGGGCCGCCTCCCGCGCAGGGCAGCGGAAAAGCAACGAGCTGCAGGTTACGCTCAGACGGCGCCCCCCCCCCACCCCCCGGGCGCTGGGGGCCCCGCGGCCCTTCGCGAGAGGCAGAAGCAGGGCCGCGAGCGCGGACACAGCGCGGAGCCCCCTAGCGGCGCCCGGAGGCAGCGCGCTCCTCCCGCCGCCCGTCGAGGGAGAGGGGAAGGCTCGCCCGGGAAGCGCCGGCATCGCCCTCCGGGCCGAGCCCGCGCCCGCGCCCGGGAGATGAGGGGCGAGTGTTAGCCATGTCCGCGGCCGCCGGGACGGGCCCGGGCCCCCGCACTCGGCAGGCGGACACTGGGCCGCAGCGCAGGAGGCAGCGACGCCTCCGGCGTCCTGGGGGGAACGGCAAGACCGTTGTAAGGAGCCGGTTGGTCTCCCTCCGGCTGGCGGGAGGCTGGGGCCTGCCTCGGCTCCGGGCACGCACCTCGGCGCCCGCCGCGGCTGGACGGCCGTCCCCTCTCCCGGCCCCGCGGGGCAGAGCTGCAGGGCTCGGCCCGGGCTCCTAGGGACAGTACAGTCAGTCCACGCGGCCTCCCTGCTCCCCCCTCCCTGAACCGGGAGTGGGGGGAAAAGCTCACGGAGGAAAAACACCTGAGCTGGCAGGGGCAGGACCAGGAGCCGGCAGTATGCCCCCCCCCCCCCCGTCAGTTAGGAGCTAACTCACCCCCTCCGAGCTCTGCCCAACGTGACACGGCTTCCAGACACCGGGTTACATTTTTGCCAGGTTTATTTTACTTGTTATACACAGACAATACAAACGGGCAAAAAACGAAACATTTCTCAATGGAGCATGTACTTGTATAAATCATTCAGTTGCACAGACGTAACAGAACAAATATAAAAATCACAACATTAGATTTACAGAAGAGCGTCAAAAATATGCACACGTTTATGACCCTGAATTTCTATTAGGAAAGTGTCCCCGTCGACTGGAATCTAGACTGAATATTTAGCCCGATGCATATTGAACGTTGTAGGTTTGTCCCCAGACGAGATGCGTGAAGCGGATCGACAGCCGAAGACTCGCTCCTCGACTTCCAGGGGCGCGGGGCGGGTGACTGCTCCTTCGCACATGAAGTCAGAGGCTCACAGGAAAGACCACTCTTCTTGTCACGCCTACGGTATTCCCCAGGAAGTCCGATCTCGGTCATCTACTCTTCTGAAAAAGTCAAATTCCGAAACTAAATGCAGTAAAATATACAGCTCACAATTCATCTTCACTGGACTACACTATGGTTACCAACAATTCAGTCGTCTATATCGTTTGTAGATTATTCATTACAAAGATTTACAGCAATATAAATAAAGGGGGAGAAACTGCAAAGAAATTTGGAAACAGTTTGTCAGCATATTTGGCACCTGCACAGACCAGTAATGGATTTGGCACTTTGGGGGGGGGGGGGAAAAAA